GGGGGCTCGGGGTGGGTGCGGGGCTGGAGAGCGAGCGGGGACGGGCTAGGCTGGGGAAGGAGTGTGGAGGGGGAGAGACGGGGTAGGGGGCGCCGGTGTTGGGCCTGAGAACCTTCCAGGAAGGCCCCCCCATTCTTACGCTTGCGGTGCTCCGCGCCCTCGGGACTCCCCCTCCCACTGCGTGTTTTCCCGTGTTTATTCTCTCCTTTCTCCGCCCCCCTCCCTGGGCACGGTCTCCTCCCCTCTATTCCACGGTGGCCTAGGGGGTCCCGAACTGAGGCCGTAGGGAGGGGACCCGTGGTTACCGGAACACAGCGGTTTGGCTGGATTCCAGCGCCCGGGCCTTGGGGCGGGTTTCGCAGCTTTGGAGGGCAGGTGCCTGCCTGGGGAGGGGCCCTGGTACAGGGATCCCTGTGCTCCCGTTAATTCTGAGCAGGTTGGGGCTTGCTGGGGTTTACTGGCACTGCCCGCCCCAGAGGTGCGGGTGCGGCCTCTACAGGTTGAGAAATCGGGCTCTGGGCTGTGTTGCCCCGATTGCAAAAATGCTACAGGCTCCAGAATTTCTGGGAGCTTCGGCGGGGCCCGGGGACTGCTGTGTTGGGGAGGGAAGAGGTACCTTTGCCTTAAGGCTGCTTTATAAATTGTATATTCGGGTATCTTGAGAGGTGGCTGAAGCCTTTGAAGCCCCCAGTTTGTGAAGCCCCTGGCTCGCAGGTGCTGGGGAGGGTGGTGTTTCCCGACAGCTTGGTGGCCTGCAGCTGCGGGAATCCTTCAGGTCTTCCCACTGTCGATGCCAATTTCCAGCCTGTGTGCAGAGTTGTTAGGACTGGCTGTAGAAGGGGGTACTCTAGACCAGGGTTTGTAGCTGCGCCTCGGGGAGGTGTGATCAATCCATTGGAAACTTTTAACCCAGAACATGGCCTGTGGCTGAGTTTGGATCTCAGAATCAGTCTGTCTCCCCAGGACAGGAAATCCCCACTCTCCCTGACCGGGGGGAGAGCAGTTAAGACCAGAAGTGGCCTTGGGATTAGGAAGGAGACCCCTCAGAGAGCACTGAGGCCAGACTTGGACCTGTCCCCCAGGCCCTGATCCTAAAGACAACTTTTAGAACCCGAATCTGCACCACACTTTGTCTCTCTTGTGGAGTTTCTTTCTGGAACCCAAGACTCTGGGCTGAAGAGACAAAAGCTCCAATCCAGTCCCTGTGGAGAGCTTTGAGACTGAGGGGTGAGAGGAGCGCCTGACCCTTGCTGGAAACCTGGTTTTCTGGCCAGAGGCCAGGGCAGTGCTAGCTTCGAAACTGTTTCAGGGGTGGGGAGAGGAGACTGTGCTGAGAATGGAGGGTGCTGGAGTCAAGGAAGGATGGGAGGAAAGTGGGAGGGGTAGTGCCCAGCATCACAGTATCTGGGGATTTGAGGTGGTCCAGCAGAGATGTAGCTCCCTCCCGCACGGAAGTCCCCCCAGAGCGGAGCAACCACTCCCAGCCCTGACCCCACCTGGTTCCTTAAGTGGGCGTCCAAGTCCAGAGGCATCTCGTTCGGCCCAATTTGAGAAGGTGCTGATGCATCTCCTGGTCACCTTCTCCACTTGAAAAGGCTAGAAGTTTTTCTGGTTGTCATACCTCCCTCCTTTGGTCTGTAATATAACACCTTTTTCTCTATTTCTACTGTCGGGAACTTAAAAGGGGAATCCAAACACCATACACCTTTCTCTTGTCTCTACAGTAAGTCAGAGGTTCTTAACCTGGGGTTTGTGGGTAGAATTTAGAGGTCTGTGCATTTGGATAGGGAGAGACGTGACTTTTTATTCTCACTAACCTTAATCGGAATTTAGCATTTCTTCACATTATAAATGTCCGCCAAAACCCGTGATAGTATTAGGAGATATTTTCCTACCACACCGCAGTTTTTGTAGGTACCTTCAAAATCATTCGCGCTCATTGTGACTTTGAAGTTAAGCTAGTTATTAAATCTACCACTAGATTTTATTATTTAATGTTTTACTGTATCATACGTATTATCATGTGTTACATATCACACATTTGGTTATTTTAATATCCTGACAACTTTCAAGATAATTTGTTTCCTATGTATTTTATGCATTTATGAACATTCCAGCATTGCTGGACTACTAAGGGGGGGTTGTGGCTCAAAAAAGGCTAAACACCCCTGTACAGTCTGGTCTTCTGGAGGAGTGGGAAGAAGGGAGAAGAGATGCAGGAAAGGAGGGGAGTATTCCTGAGAAGGCAGAGGTCTGGGCTGGGTCTGGAGGGGCTGAGAGTGGGGCAGAGGTTATCGTGGGATGTTTTGTGATTCTTTTTTTTTTTTTTTTTAAGATTTTATTTATTTAGGGGTGCCTGGGTGGCTCAGATGATTAAGCATCTGCCTTCAGCTCAGGTCATGATCCCAGGGTCCTGGGATCAAGCCCCACATCGGGCTCCTGGCTCAGCGGGGAGCCTGCTTCTCCCTCTCTGTCTGCCTCTCCCCCTGCTCGTGCTCTCTCTTCCTGTCTGTATCTCTGTGTCTCAAGTGAGTAAATAAAAAATTAAAAAAGATTTTATTTATTTATTTGAGAGAGAGAGAGCATGAGGGGAGGGGCAGATGCAGAGGCAGACTCCCCACTAAGCAGGGAGCCCGATGTGGGACTCGATCCCAAGGACCCTGGGATCATGACCTGGGCCAAAGGTAGACGCTTAACCGACTGAGCCACCCAGGCGCCCCTGTTTTGTGATTCTTCAGTTTGGGTGAAGACAGGGCAAAGGAAAGTAAGTTGGGTTAGAAAAAGTGAGATAAAACTACGAGAAACTTCCAGGTCTAAAGAGAGTGAGAGGGGCGCCTGGGTGGCTCAGTCGGTTGGGTGTCTGCCTTCAGCTCAGGTCATGATCCCAGGGTCCGGGGATCAAGTCCCACTTCAGGCTCCCTGCTCAGCGGGGAGCCTGCTTCTCCCTCTCCCTTTGCCTGACGCTCCCCGTGCTTGTGCTCTCTCTCTGTCAAATAAATAAATAAAGTCTTTAAAAATTAAAAAATAAAATAAAAATAAATAAATAAATAGAGTGAGCGCAAGGGAGATCAAGGAAGGGGCACCTACGTGGTCTCTTTGGGGAGTGGTGCTCAGACTCAGGGTGACCAGGAATCTGGGAGGAAGATGCCTTCCAGGGGAGGAGGCTGCTGGGGGCGGGGCAGGCTGGAAGGCCCAGCTTCCTGTTGTTGCTACCCCTGGGAACCTGGCCATGTTGCCCTTGGCCAAGGCCCAGCTTAAGTGGTGACAGCCTGCTCCCAAGGTCAAAGACTAAGTTAAGGGTAAAGCGTGGACCGCCCCCTTCCCTACCCTCATCCCTCTCCACCACTACCACCTCCACCCCCAGCACACGAAGAAGCGCCCTGGAGCGGGCCAGAGGCAGCTGGGCCCCAGCCCTCAGTGGGCTGGACTGAAACAGGCTGTGATGTGTGACCCTCTCCGTTTCTCTGGACCCCAAGATGGCTTAGGTTTCAGCTTGACTGCTTGCCCTTAGAGGCCTCCTCACCCCACTCCCCAGGGCCGAGAAGCCTGCAATAGCTTCCCTTAAGCAGCAGCCCTGTGGGCTGGTATTTCCACCACAGAGAAACGGACAGAGCTCCTCTTCCCACCCCTGCTCATAGTGCGGGGCTGCTTTTTGCTCCCTGGACTTCTGGCAAGGCTCCTTGCACACCGTGCAGGCCCTGGAGGCGGAGGGGGCTGCCCAGTGAGCCAGCTCAGATGCCAGCTCTCTGTGCCAATAGGCGCTCTGCACCCCCTTCACCTCCACCTGTCCAGAACCGAGTTCTCCAGCTCCCTATTCTCTGTTGTCTCTCTTTCCCTTGTTGGCTTCCCCACCCACTCCGACCTGGTCTCCAGAGCTGCACCTATATGGTAGCCACTAGCCCCTTAAATTTAAGTTAATTAAATTAGAAATTTAGTTCTTGGGCGCCTGGGTGGCTCAGTCGGTTGGGCGTCCGCCTGAGGCTCGGGTTGTATCCTGGGGTCCCGGGATGGGCCCCACGTCAGGCTTCCTACTTGGCGGGAAGCCTGCTTCTCCCTCTCACTCTGCTCCCCCCGCCCCCGCTTGTGCTCTCTCTAATAAAGAAATAAAATCTTCTTTTTTTAAGATTTTATTTATTTGACAGAGAGAGAGCGAGAGAGGGAACACAAGCAGGGGGGAATGGAAGAGGGAGAAGCAGACTTCCCGCTGAGCAGGGAGCCCGATGCGGGGCTCGATCGAAATAAAATCTTAAAAAAAAAAAAAAGAAATTTAGTTTTTCAGTCACACCAGCCACATTCCAGGTGCGTGGTAAGCCCATGTGGCCAGTGGTTGCCATATTACACACTGCAGCTATAGAACGTTTCCACCATCACAGAAAATCCTCTTAGACAAGATTGCTCTGGAAGTTATCCCCTAATATCAGCCACCGTGTCTTGCCTAGGTCACTGCAGAAGGCTTCTACCCAGTCTCCTAGGCCACCCCACCCCTATCTTCCTTGTGCACAGCGGTGTTTCTAAAATGCAAGTGTAATTTTGTTGCTTCCCAGCTTAAATCCTTATATGACCCTCCCATCACTCTGTCTCTCTCTGTCTTTCTCTCTCTCTCTCTCACACACACACACACACACACACAGCTTCTTGGCCTGATACCTGAGACACCCTATAATCTGCTCTCTCTGCTGTGGGTCCTCAGAGACACTGTAACCCAGCTACATGAAACTACCCCTGACCATTGCCCATTGGGGGCACACACCCCAAGGCTTTCCCGAAAATTCAAGTTTGTAAATACAGACATGACGACACCCACTGGCTTTTTCCCAAATCACATTTCCTTTGAATCGTCTATTTCCTGTACATTTGGTTTTTTGTTTGTTTTTTGTTTTCTTGTGGGTTTTTTTGCGCTGCAAGGAAACTGCCCCTCTAGCTTTTACTAAAGTTTCCTTGAACTTGATGACTAATTTTGTCATTCACAGGAGAGTTCACAACAAGAATTTCAGGAATTGGTTTTTCTCACTTCTGCATAGACAGCATGCCGGACATGTCTACAGCTAGATCCGAGTTGGGGCCTGATTCAACATTCTGTTTAGTTGATAGAGTTTTCAGGCACCACTTCCTTTTTAGACCTTTTCCCTTTCCCTCCACTTCTCCCATGGTGCCACAGGCAGGCCTTTGTTTTGAGGCCTTGCCTTCCCCATTCACTCTACTCCCCAGAGGTACACAGTCACTGTGCAGCCCTGGGAATAGAATACCAGCCTTACTGAGATATGTCTGCTGGGCATGAGCAAGGATCCCATCTTGGCTCCGAGACTCTTCCCTCCCTTCAGCCTCCCAGGGCCCCCCAGGGCACCCCTGCATTCCCTCTTGGCCTGCACACGCCCTGATAACAGACAAATCACACCGTATTAGTACTAGTTATCTCAGGAAAAGTTCCCAGCTCCTTTAAGATGCGAATTGTATCTTCATCTCTGAATCTCTAGCACAGAAACCTACTCTACTTGTTTGCTGAATGAGTGGTTGAATGGAAGATGGAAGTTTTTCCTGCTCACTCCTGCCCACTGACTTCTGTCCTCTGAACACTTACATTCAGAACCACTCATTGGATATCTTCCTTTTTGTGCAAATTACCTGTCTACCGAACTGGAGTCCCAGGCCCTTACAAGCTCTCTCCAGCGTCTGTGTGACCGCAGCACCCAACAGTGGGAGTTGTCAAGTGTCAGGGCAGGGAAAGGGCCAGAGTTGCTGTTGAAGGGACAGGGACCCAAGAACTGACTGACGAGCAGTGGTTTGCTTTGCTCTCCAGGGGGCTGTTGTGGTTCTGACTATAAACAGTACGTGTTTGGCGGCTGGGCCTGGGCCTGGTGGTGTATCTCCGACACTCAGAGGTAAGGGCTCGGGGGCCCCCAGGGAGCCTGGCATCCAGGTGGGCAAGGGAGAAAAGGATTTCCAGCCTTCCCCCCCTGCCCCCCACAGTCAGCTAGAGCATCCACCACTTGCCACATTCCATGCTGGGGCGGGGGGCCTCCTAAGACCCAGGTGAGACAGGTGGCACAGGGTGCAGGGGGTCCGTCTGGGCACCTTCTCCTTAGTGGGGGTGCTTTTTTCCACTAGAGACATCAGTTGTGTCCCAGAGAATCCGGGGGTCATGCCCAGGCAGAATCCTCATTCCCTAAGTCTAGCTCAGTTATTCACGAAGCCTTAATTATCCTCCCTGTGGAGAGGAAGGCTGTGCAGGCCCGGACAACGCAGGCCGTGGCCGAAGAGCAGGAAACGGATCCGCAGTCTGGAGCGGCCCTGTGGCAGTGGCCGCTTGGGGACAGGGGGAGGAGAGCTAAGGAATTGGTGCTGGGCTGGGCAAAACAGATCTGGACCTCCACGGTCAGTCTGGAAAGACTCACTAGAGGAAGGAAGACGTCATCGGGCTCTCTGGAGCTCTCCCAGGACCCCCAGCAGGCCCAGACTTGACCCCCCAGGAGGAGATGAGTCAGGCCAGCCACCTTTCCACCATCACCCCCTTCCTGACTGTGCCCAGATCCTTCCAGGCCAGCACCCAGGCAGCAGGGGCAGCAGAACTGGTGTGGGAGGGGAAGTGGCGGTCACCCCGAAGGGAAGCAGTGGTGGTTCCAGTGGAAAGCCCCATGGCTGCCCTGAGGTTGAGGGTGTCAGCTAGGGCCAGGGGCAGGGGAGGGAGGTCAACTTTTTAACTTCACTGATTTCCCAGTAGCCCTCTCTGCTCTCCCCTCACTTTGCTCCGCCTGAATTGAGGGATCCTGGGGGACTCTTATGGCCAAAGATGTCCGAGAGTAACCGCTGCTGGTCACAACTTCCTCTCAGGAGTGGGCCAGTTGGCCTGTCAGAAGGCATGGGGTGCCCTCTCCAGAGGCACCGCCACCCCACCCCACAGGCCATGTGGTCCTGGGATGACAGAGAATCTTGTCCGAACACCTTGACGCGCAGCCAGGCCTGGAGAGTTTGCAGCTCACCCAGACACTTGTCCTGCGCGGGCATCCACTTCTAGGGCCACACCCCTGCAGCCCTTTCTCAATGTTCTCGGCACACACAGCGCCCCCTGCTTCTTGCTTCAGGGAGCAGAGCCCCGAGACTGGTGCAGGTTGGGGGGCTGGCTGGCTTCTCTGACAGTAAGTTTGGAAGTAAGGAGAAGAGGTCTTTGTGCCGTGTCCTAGGAAGCTGACCTCCCACACCCAGGCTTAGCATTCTCCCTGTGGTCCCACTCGCTGGGGAGTCTGAGCCCGCGGCCCCTCCCCTTGTTGGACTCTGTTTCTGAGGGCAGCCCCTTCCCCGACCCCTCGCCCATTTGAAGGGCATCTGTACAAGCTGGGGCCTCTATCTCCCTAGGCCGGCAGGAGCCTCTCAGGTCAGAGTAGAGGCTTCTAACCCAGGCTGGATTCCAAGCCTCCCTTCCCACAGCCACCATCCGCGCCCCCCACCTCCGTTGTCAGCCTTTCATCTCCAGGCTCAGTGAAGTCCCTCCTGCTGTGCTTTGCGGCCACGTCCTGTATGGTGCTGAGGCCCTCGAGCGGCAGCTCCCTCTCCCTTACCTGAGTGAATCCTCCACCTCCGGCGTCTGAGCTGCAGCCTCCTTCCTTCCCTCCTTCCTTCTCTCCTTCCCTCCCTCTCTCCCATCTCCCGCGCTCCCCCTTCCCCAGAAGAGAGCTTGGTGGGTTCCTGTCTGAGCGGGGTCTAGAGTCCTCTCAGGCCCAAGAGTGCTAGTATCAGGGGCTCGAATGAAGACAGTCTTTGCACCCCTGCATGGCCGGAGCTCCCAGGGCTGGTACAGTGACAGGTGAGGGCAGGGCTCCATGCGGCCTGCTGCTCCCATCCCCCAGTCCACCCGCTTCCCGGCCTCCGCCGCTGTCCTCCCTCCCTCTGGTTTCAGGAAACCTCCGCGCTGCCCACAGCCTGGCCCGGCCCGGCCCCCTGCACACTCCCAGGCACGCACGTGCCGCCCTATGGAGGCCCGGCTAGGGCGGGCTGAGCAGCTTCAAGGCACCTCACTCTCGTTGCCATAACTCCCTTCTCTGCCTGTGCCCAGCTTTGGAAATTCCAAAGTGAATTACTCCCATCAGCCCCCTGTTGTCCCGGTGAATACCCTGGCAGGGATGCACTTCCTCCCCCAGCCTTCCTTGACACCTTGCCCCCCCCCAAAGCAGAAAATCCCAGGTTGTCTCTGGGCTTTCCTGACCCTAAATTGCCTTCTTAGTGTTAGGTAGCACAAACCTAAGCAGGATTCGGTATTTGCTGTGGCTCACTAATCCCCAGAGTGGCCTCTCCTGCCCAATTTCTGGAAACACGGGTTTGCCTGTGTTTGGAAAGTAGAACTGAGGCTAAGTCTCCCAGACTGTGCCAGGACTGTCCTGGGAAAGTGAGGTGGTGGGCAACCTAGGTGCCCTGCTCACAGGCCTCCCCACCTCAGGTCATAGGCCCAGGGGGTCAGCAGGCTTTACCCCCAGCCCAGCAGCTCCTGCTTAGACGGGTGTGGGGGCTAGGGAAGACATCCAGAGGCCAGCAAGGGGGTTTCGTCTGTCCCCCTACAATCCTAGGCTGAGCTGGCAGGAGAGGGCTCGAGTACTGAGAGCAAACGCCCCCGCCCCGCCACGCCCCCAGGCATCAGGCATCGTTGCTTGTCTGGTAACCACTGTGTGTGTTTGCTGTCCCCTCCTACCCCTCCTGTCCCTACCTCTCCCTCCCCCTGGCTGCTTCTCAGACTGTCTCTGGAGGTTATGACCATCCTGTGTCGCTGTGAGAATATTGAGACGTCGGAGGGGGTCCCGCTATTCGTAACAGGGGTTGCACAGGTAATAACCCACCTGCTTCCTCCTCTGTGTCTAACCTTCTCTCTTCCTGCCCTGTGGGGCCCGGCAGGCAGGAGCCAGATGGACTCTCCTCCCGAGAGTGTGCCTCCCTCCCCTCTGCTCCCACCTGTACTGCTCTGGGTGCCAGGATGGAGCCCTGTAGATCCCCAGCTCCTCTGCCCTCACCCACTGGGGCTGCTAGTGGGGAAAGAGCAAGGGAATCTGGAAGCTCTGCCCAAGTCAGCCAGGGGGTGTCCTTGGAGGCCAAGGGGTAAGTTGAGGCAGGAGACACAGGCCCCCACATGCCAGAGCGAGGCTGTCCGGGTAGGGAGGGTTCAGTCCAACCACTCCAGGCACTGTGGAGCCCCTTGCTAGCCAGCCCCCACCTGTCCATGCTGACACACGTCAAGTCCTAGCCCTCCTCCCAGAAGATGGGTCCCCTGAAGAGTTCTGTTCTACCAGCTCCTTGGCCTCCTCCGATCTCCTTGACAGGCCTTAGCAAAATGAGTCTTGGCTCTTCCCTGCCCCTAATTTTTGGCAGAAGCCTCTGAGCAAAATCCCTTGTGACTCCTGTTAGTTTCCTTACGTGTGAAATAGGGGAATCCTGTACACTCTGTGCTTTGTAGGGATATGGGAAAGGCAAGTAAAGCAATATGAGGGCTCTTTGGGATTTTTGGAAAAGTGCTGGAGAGGGGCACCTGGGTGACTCAGTCGGTTGAGCATCCAACTCTTGATCTCAGCTCAGGTCTTGATTTCAGTGTCCTAAGTTCAAGCCCCGTGTTGGGCTCCGCGCTGGGCATGGAGTCTACTAAAAAAAAAAAGAAAGTGCTAGAGAAACCCAGGCTTTATCATGAATCCAGTCTCACTTAGAAAAGCAAGTGACTGGATGTCTCACTCTTCGCTGCCATGCGGCTGTAGCCAGTGAAACCCTCTCCTGAGCCGAGGTGCTTAGTGCCTCCCAGTGCCTCCCAGTGCCTCCCAGCGCCTCCCAGTGCCTCCCAGCGCTTTCATTGTGCTGTGCTGGCGCTCACCTTTGCTGCTTCACTCATCAGTTCTCTGTTGAGCTCCTTCCTGGTTCCGGGCACTGTGGATGCTGCAGTGACCATCAGAAAGCCCCTGCCCCCTCAGAGCCTGCATGCTGGGTCCCCAGACTGGAAGAGCCCTCACCATCATCTTAGCCGTCTCCTTCCCTTGCGTAAAATCGCCCTTCGGGCTTCTCAGGCAAAACCCTACACTACCTCTCCCTCCCTCTCCTGTCCTGCCGGCTGTCCTGGGGCAGGGGACCGTCCCCACCTCATCCACTCCTTGTAGCCTCCAGCGGGCGGGCTTTAGCACAGAGGCCCAAGAAGCTCAGGGCACCCAGTGTAGAACGGGTAGGGTCCCGGCCTCCCTCGACAGCCCTGGCGAAAGTGTCCCCGCTCCCCTTCCAAACTGCTGCCTACTTAGAACAACTGCAAAGGCCCACATCCCTTTCAGGCTAGGTGATATGGACCCTTGAGGTGGTCTGGGCCAGGGAGTGCTCGTGTGACCTCAGCCCTCGTTCTCCACTTGAGCCACCTGGGCCCAGCCCCGGAGGGTCAGCTTCAAGGCAAGCCTGCCGCCAGGTGAAGGGACAAAGCAGGACTTCCCCGGCAAGGGGCAGACGCAGGATCACCTCCATCGTGGTCCAGCAGTGGGCGGACTCCTAGCATGCCAGGCTAGTAGGCAGAGCTTTCCGGGGAGCCTTCCAGGGCATCTCGGGGTACTGAGCAGACCCAGGGAACAGGTGAGGGCCCCTGAGGGATGTTCCCGTGGCCCCCGTGGATGACCTACACAGCACAGCCTGGGGTACCAGCACTTCCGGGGCGTTCCCAGGCCATACGTACACAGTTCCACCTGCACGCCCCCCGCACCGGCCCAGACCACCCCCAACCACTTCTCTACTTCCTTTCCTCACGCCACTGCAAGCCAGCTGCTCTGAGCAGGGGCCATGTGCTGTGGGTAGCACGCTGCGGCCGCGCTGCTCTGCCTTCCCACCATCTCCTCACAGACTCCTGACCCCAGGCCCTCAGAGCGCCCTCCCCACCCTCTGCAGCAGGACCCCCGGCCCGGCCCAGCTGGAACACAGAGGTACCGGACTCTCCCCAGACCCCAGGCCCTGGGCCCCCAGACCCATGCCCCTGTTTTGCATTTCTTGGCAGGATTTCCCTAGAGATTATGACGTTGCAGCCCCGCTGCGAGGACGTAGAGACGGCCGAGGGGGTAGCTTTAACTGTGACGGGTGTCGCCCAGGTATAGTAACTCAGCAGCCCCGCGCATGTCCGTTGAGCTGCCTCATCCCTGTGCTGGGGTGTGGGGGGAGGAGGAGAGGGTAGCAGCCAGGGCCAGTCTCTCTCCAGTGCCCCTGCCCCCACCCCCCTTCCACGAGAGGGTCGTCGCCACCAGAACGTGCTCGCTCGGCCCCTTGGCCACTCAGCAGGACTAACAGACACCCCTTCTCTCCTCAGCGGGCCCGCGAGGGGCAGAACCAGTGCTGAGGGCTCCTGTCTCACTAACCCCACGCGATTCTTTGCAGGTGTTGGAAGTGCCACGCCCCAGAATCCAGGCCTTCCCTGTCCTCTGGGTGGGGGCTAAAGGGGCGGGGACCAGAGGACAAGACCATGTGAGGCAGAGGAACTCTCTCGGAGGTTGCTTTGTATTCCCAGCTCAGGGCCTGGGCGAGGGGCTTCCTCCTCTCGTCCAGTTCTCAACTTCACAGGGCAGCAAGGTGCAGCCGTGTTAGAGGCCTCTGGTGAGGGGGTGGTTGGCTTAGTACTTAGGGAAGGAAAGGCAGGAAGATAACCACCCTCGGTGGCGTCCCTCTGGACCTGTCTCCTGCCCTGTCCAGGCTCTCTTCCCTAGCCTGTATATCTGTGTCCCTATTGCTCATTCTCCTTTCCACGCTCTCTGCCCCTCAGCCTGCAGGTCTCCCACCTGTGGGGAGCCTGCATGGGAGGAACCGGCCAATGAGGGAACAGTGAGTGGGCTGAGGGGTGGGGAGATGAGCCCCAGATGCCTAGCAGACAGGCCCTGTCAGGGCCTGAGGCTGCCAGTGAACATCAGATTTGTCAGTGTAAGAATTCCTGGTATGCTCTCCCCACCAGAGGCCTCAGCCAGACTCTGCCCGCTCCTGGCCCCTAGGCCTGCAGGTCTGAAAAAAGGAGGGGAGGGGCACAGCCACCATCCTCCACACCTCTGGGTCTGGGGCCTCCGTCTGCCCTCCTCCAGCCTGGTTCAGGCATCTCTGTGACCGCTGGCAGGTGAAGATCATGACGGAGAAGGAGCTCCTGGCAGTGGCCTGCGAGCAGTTTCTGGGCAAGAACGTGCAGGACATCAAGAACGTCGTCCTGCAGACCCTGGAGGGGCACCTGCGCTCCATCCTCGGTAAGGCCCCGCCCTACCCAGGGACCCCTCTGCCACCTTCGAGCACCTCACAGGATCTCCTAGCCAGGGCCAGGGAGGGGCGCAGGGCAGGGCAGGGAGGTCTGTCAGTCCCACCAAGACTTTCTTTTCAAAACTTCAGGGGACCTGAGGGAAGGGGAGGGCACTGGGGTCGGGAGATTAGGGGCTGCCAGGCCGGTCAGGCACCTGGTGTTGCTTGGGACACTTTTCCCCTTCCAGCCTGGGCTCTGCAGAAGGAGGTTCAGCGTTAAACGCTGTGCACAACCCCCAGAAAGACCCAGCTCACTCTACAACGTGTGCATACACTCAGACCGCTGCTTGCATGCCTCCTCCCTTTCCCAGTGGGCTGGGCCCCCGGGGAAGCCAGCCCACGATCCCTCTGTCCCCAGGGACCCTGACCGTGGAGCAGATTTATCAGGACCGAGACCAGTTTGCCAAGCTGGTGCGGGAAGTGGCGGCCCCTGACGTCGGCCGCATGGGCATCGAGATCCTCAGCTTCACCATCAAGGTGACATGTGATAGGAAGGCTGCAGCCCCCCACCTCCCTCTGGGTGCTTGGCCCCTCTGTGCGTGTGACTGTTCCCAAGGATGACTCCCCCTTCCCTCCCAGGACGTGTATGACAAAGTGGACTATCTGAGCTCCTTGGGCAAGACGCAGACTGCCGTGGTACAGAGAGATGCGGACATTGGGGTGGCCGAGGCCGAGCGGGATGCAGGCATCCGGGTACACGGGCTTTTCTTCCCACCCTCACGGACAGGGAATCCAGGGGTGGGGGGACCCTGGTGGCTTGGGGGATCCTCAGCACCTGCCCCTCCGGTTGCCAGGAAGCAGAGTGCAAGAAGGAGATGCTGGATGTGAAGTTCATGGCAGACACCAAGATCGCTGACTCCAAGCGAGCCTTCGAGCTGCAAAAGTCAGCTTTCAGTGAGGAGGTCAACATCAAGGTGAGGCGCCGCCGGGCATCCCAGGTTGGGGCTCAGGGCTCAGCACCTGGCATCCAGCGTCTGACACGGCTGCCCATTGTCCCGCCTCAGACCGCCGAGGCCCAGCTGGCCTATGAGCTGCAGGGGGCGCGGGAGCAGCAGAAGATCCGGCAGGAAGAGATTGAGATCGAGGTGGTACAGCGCAAGAAGCAGATTGCTGTGGAGGCGCAGGAGATCCTCCGCACAGACAAGGAGCTCATTGCCACGGTGCGCCGCCCCGCCGAGGCTGAGGCCCACCGCATACAGCAGATCGCCGAGGGTGAAAAGTGAGCACCCTGGCCGTGGCGGGGTGGGGACTAGTCGGGCTTTCCCGGACCCAGCTTGGAAGCCACCTCGCCCTGTGCCTCCTTACTGACTGTGAGGTGGAGGTGACCTGCCTCCCCCATGGGGTTGGCGCTGGGAAGACCGGAGGAGATAAAGGAGGTTTGAGGGCCCGCTATGGGGCTTGGCTCAGCGGGCATCCTGGCTAGTCCCCCCCTCATTTGCATCTAGCAGCCAGTGGCCTCCCCCTGGCCAGAGCCAGAACCTCCCTTCCTGGGTCCCCTACCCCGACACCCGTCAGAGCAGAGGCCTTGAGGGTTTGCCGGCCCCCGGGCAAGGCTTGGGGGGCCCCTGGCTCTTGCCACTGATCCCGCCCGGCCTGAACTCCTGCAGGGTGAAACAGGTCCTCTTGGCGCAAGCAGAAGCCGAGAAGATCCGCAAACTCGGGGAGGCGGAGGCAGCGGTCATCGAGGCGATGGGCACAGCAGAGGCTGAGCGAATGAAGCTCAAGGCCGAGGCCTACCAGAAATACGGGGATGCAGCCAAGATGGCGCTGGTGCTGGAGGCCCTGCCCCAGGTGAGCCCCCACCCCCACCCCCCGCCCTGGGGTGGGTCCGGCAGGGCCTCGGCAGGAGCACAGCCACGGGCTGGCTGGAAGCATTCAACGCGGAAGTACCTCGCAGCGGGGCAGGACCCCTACAACACGCATAGGCTCACCTGGCTCCCTGGGCCTCCCTGACCATGGCTTGCAAATAAGAGAGCCACCCAATCTGCGCTGGGGTTGGGGGAGGCGAAAGAAGGAGGGAGAGATACCGAGCGGGGCAGGTGGACCGAGTCAGAGCACCAGCCAAGCTCTCCTCCCACCCCCCACCCCCTGCCTCCTAGATTGCTGCCAAAATCGCCGCCCCCCTGACCAAAGTCGATGAGATTGTGGTCCTCAGCGGGGACAACAGCAAGGTGACATCAGAAGTCAACCGACTGCTGGCCGAACTGCCTGCCTCCGTGCATGCCCTCACAGGCGTGGACCTGGCCAAGGTGAGTGCCTGGCTAGCTGCGGGTGGAGCCGTCCCGGGGCCTCGGGGCCCCGGCCTCATGACATCTCCCGTCCTGGCAGATACCCCTGATCAAGAAGGCCACCGGCGCACAGGCGTGAGGCTCCCGAAGGCCTGCACCCCTCAGCAGCCGTTTTCCTACCACAACGACAACGGGAACGCTACTGACTCTGGTGCCTTATTTTGTAGGGACCAGAAGTGCTGCGTGCTCAGGCCTTCTCTGGCTGTCTTCCCGCCGCCCCCCCCCCCCCCCCCCGTCTCTGGCTGTCTCCTTTCTCTTCTCCCCTTCCCACATCTTCATTTTCACTGCCACATCCATCTGGTTTGTCTCTTCCACCCTCGTCTCCCATCTCCCTGTCCGTCTCTTCCCTTGTCTGTCTGTCGTTTTCTCTCCCTCTCTCTCTGCTCCCCCCCTCTACACACATCATGTAGTTTAAGCTGAAGACGTTTATTATGACCACTGTCTGTCTGTGGGGGGTAGTAGCCCTGCTGCTCCTCAGAATCCTGGTGCCTTGAAGTTCTCTGTGCATCTGTCCATCCTCCCTGTGGCCCTTGCCAAGACGCGGCATGGGTGCGGAGGGTCTGGGTAGGATGGCCACCCGCCCCTTTCCTGGCCTGGTCTTCCCAGCCCTGAGTCCTACCCAGAAGTCCCCAGCCTCCCCCACTCCGGACCCCCTAGGCCTCGCTGGCCATTGCCCTCCCCAGCCCCAGGCCTGCTCTCGTACCTTACCTCTCTCTCCTTACCTAGGGGCACAGAGGCAAGGCCTCCTGTCTATAGCAGCTCCCTCAGTTTACTACTGCCTCAGGAGGCCCTTGCTTGTGCTCAGGGAAGTCCCCTTCATGGACATATCCCTACTAGGTAGAGTAGGGCTTGGTCCCAACTCTGTTAAGCCTTTCTGGGATCAGGGTCTAGCCCTGTTGGGGACTAGAAGGTGTGTAGACCCTCTTCCTGCTAGGCCTGTGCTGACCTGGGTATGGGGCCAGGCCCTTGCAGTGGGCATGGCTGCACCAGCCCCGGACAGAACTCAGCGCTGTAGACTGGCCAGGCTCCATACCCCTTGTGCCATTTTTCCTTCTGACCAGAGTGATAGGGTTCCAGCCATGGGGAAGCAGCCGAGCCCTCTGTCTCCTGGCTCTCGTGGAGACAGAAGAACCCAGAGCCCAAGCATCCTGGCAGGGGTGCTGTGGGCGTCCGCTGGTCCCAGTCTCCCACTTCTGGCTCTGCCCCAGCCTGTGTAGCTGTTCCTGCATGTGGATGCTGCATGTCTGGTCTGGGGCTTGGATGCTGCACTGCCCCGCTGCCTGTCCCTTCTAGTAAAATAAAGATCTGTTATGCCTACGCCCTGGACTATGTCTTCTGTGAGGGGAGAGACTAGGAAGCAGGGACGAGCCAGGTCCCCACCCATACACCCATTCAGCCTGAAAGCTACACTTTGTCTGTTCTTCCCCATTATAGCCACTGGGGGGCATCAGCACACTGGCCTTGTCCCCAGTAGCATCCTGGGGCTGGATGGCCATTGGCCCAGGTGCTGCGGCCAGATCCCGAGCCTTGGCAAACCTGGCTCCGTTGCAGGCAGGTGATGCGGGGGGGGGCGGGGCTGCCGGGTTGCTGCACCTCTGTGTCCATCCTGAGCCCCACTCAGTAATGGAGCCCATTTCTCAGGCTTAAGAGCATGAACTCTGAAGTCAGACTGCTTGGGTTTAATTTTTAGCTCTGCTAATCACCTGTGTGATCTTGAGCATGTAACTTCATCTCTCTGGGCTTTAGTATTCTTATTCATTTTATCTTATCTTATCTAATGCTCGCTGTGTGCCAGGCAGGCATCGTCCTACTAGATGGGGAGGAGACCACAGTGAACAATACAAACCGCTAGCTTTTAGAGCTTACATTCAGGTGGAGGTAAAGAATAGGAAGTTGGGAGTGGGGATTTTAGGGTGTCAAAGGAAGGCCTCATTGAGAAGGTAGCGCTGAAGAAAGTCAAGGAATGAGCCATGCCTGAAGAGCTTCCTGTCCAAAGACCCTGAGGTAGAAGTGTATCTGGCAGGATGCCTGGTGGCTCAGGCTCAGGTCATGATCCCAGGGTCCTGGGATGGAGTCCTGAATCAGGCTTCTTGCTCAGCAGGGAGTCTGCTTCTCCTCCCTCTGCCCCTCCCCATGTTCATGCTCTCGCTCGCTCTCTTTCTGTCTCTCTCAAATAAAAAAAGATCTTAAAAAATAAAAATAAAAAAAGAGCCCATTCCAAAATGTTACATACTGGGCGCCTGGGTGGCTCAGTTGGTTGGGCGACTGCCTTCGGCTCAGGTCATGATCCCAGAGTCCTGGGATTGAGCCCCG